GCCACCAACTCTACCCAAAGGTCTCTGGGTGGCTTGCAACAATTAAAATTCAATAAAAAAATAAAATGATTAAAATACAATTAAAATTGCCATGCAAGAGACATGTTTCAAATGGCATTTTCCACTGCAGTTTAACATTTCTGTTCAAGCATGCCATTTGCTTCCTAAGCTTAATGTCTTTATATTATATTACCTATTTCTTCTTATTACTTCTGTATTGTACCTCTGTACTGTATTTATCACCTTTCATTATGTTAGCCTCCCCAGCTAGTGTGTAAACAGACTATGCTATTGTGTACATAAAATAAAATACACAAGGATAAACGCAGAGAGTGATCAGGGGTGGGGTATGTTTGAAGTTAGAAGAGCAGAAACATGTATCATCCCTATTTATTATTTGCTATATTTATCTATAACAAGAGGAGGCTTGTCTGGATGCAGTACCACACCACTGTTTATACAGCTGCGACAACCAAAGCAGAAATAGCCATGACAATGTCCGACACGTGGGAGAAATGACAACAAAAGGAAAAATATTTATATCCTGCTTTCTTCCCAATGAGCTCAAAGTGGCATACATGTCTTTCCTACCTGTAAGGCAAACTAGGTAGACAAAGCATAGTTCCTCAAAGGCCACCTAGGGAGCTTCCCAGCTCAATAAGAACCTGGATCTCATTGGTTTCAGTCCAACACTCTGTTACGTCTCACTGGCTCTTGGTCCTGTGGCACCATTTGCCTTAAAAATAGTATCAGTTTAAGGAAGTCGGGTACCCCTTTTCACAGCAAGATGCTGGAAAATCAGGGTTTCTCAAGTGCTGTCACTGGAGACTTCTTCCATAGCTATCCTCTGGTTTGCTGTACAGGCACAAATGGGAAATGTCTCACTTGTGGCTATGAAGTACCTGCTAAGAACAGGCCTGCTCTGTGGCATCATGTGGAACTACAGCTAAGGGCCAGTACTTGTGCATCTCATGTGGAGATGTAAATCCATCTGATCTTGAAATATGGATTCAAAAGGACCTTACCATTAGGACTTGTAATCTGTGACCAATGTCATTTGAAAGGCAAGCCAAGGACCTGTCTCTTTGCATTTGATTTTCTTCCCTGTATCATTCCATTTCACTGGAGTGGACATTTTGAACACACTTGAGGGGAAAATGCACATTTCTTGGTTCTATGTTGCAACAGGACTTCCTGACCTTACTCACATGTTTCTACACTACGACTGCATTCCGGAACTGTTACTTCAGAGAAAATCGCACTGAACGTATTGCACAAGAAACAGTCTGACTGCAATATACATGCAATAAAATAATAAAGACTCATAATAAGAGATCACAGAGAAATTATTTGCAACAGAGTCATAATATGCACATTGACATTCTCAAAGTAAACTGAAACTAAAAAATTAGCTACTGCACTGTTTTCTGTAGTCAAAAATGGGACAAATGAATATTATTACTGAGTTGTATCCCACTGAGTCTGTTCAAGAGTGGAATGTATCGGGGGAACAACTCCACCAGACACATCTGGGACCCTCCAAGGCAAATCTGGAAAGTCATGGAGGATGCAGGGAACAGGGAAAGGAAGAGAAAATTCTGGCAGTTGAGAGAAAGCTCCCTCACAGTGTATTTTACTTTCAAAATACATGATTACAGCCCACTGACCCTAAGCAGCTTACAAGCTAAAGTTCAGCACAGGAGAAACAACAGAGGCAGGAGAGAATATGTGACCACAGATGGTTAAAAGGGGTGTGTGTGTTTTTTCTGTTGGATACATTTAACATTTAAAAGCTTGAGTTTACTATGACAGAGATGGTGAACTTGAGGCTCTCCAGATGTTACTAAGCTGCAAGGCAGTGAGCAGAGTCAATGGAGATGGATAATGGAAGTTGCAGCCAAACATCTGCAGGGTGAAAAGGACTGAACAGACACCATTGCACTTTGGGCATATCATGAAAAGACGGGATACTCTGGAAAAGACAATAGTGCTAGGAAAAGAAGAAGGTGGCAGGAAAAAAAGGAAGACATAACACAAAATAGATTAAGCTAACAAAGGAATCTGTAGGATCTGAGTAAAGTTCTTAAGGACAATACAAGTTGCAGTAGGGTATAAGATATGTGAGACATGATGAAGTAGTCACAGAAAAGGTAAATTTTGAACAAGGATTTGAAGGACTCAGAGGAGGGATGCTTGGGTATTTGAAAATGTTTTCCCGTTCCATCAGACAGAATCCTACAATCACAGGCCAAAGCTCCATTGCTTCACATGAGTCAAATCATAACTTTCGGTTTGTTCCTCCCTGGTTAACAAACGGTCCCTGCTGCAGTTGTTGAGGGAACATGCTCATGCTAGCTTGGTTGCATGCAAAAAACAACATACACCCCAAAAATTGTGATGGGGAACTTTGTTTACCAGCAATGAAGATATCAAAAATTTTATTTGACCCATGCTAAGCAGCAGCATTAATGAGCTGGAAGGACTCATGAATTCAATGACCCATTGAGTCCAACCCTGGCCAAAGCAGGAAATCCACAGCATCCCTGACAGATGGCCATCTAATCTCTCCTTGAGAGCCTACAATGAAGGAGAGCAAACACTCTCCAGGGCAGTTCCTTCCATTGCCCAACAGCCCTTACTGTCAAGAAATTCTTCCTAAAGTTTAAGCAAAATCTCCTTCTCTGTAATTTGAATCTATTACTGTACATTGTGTCCTTCCCTCTGGAGCGACAGAAAACCAGCTTGCCACATCTTCCATGTGGCAGCCCTTCAAATATTTGAAGACGGCTATCTCTGGGCCTCTGAGTCTTCTCTTCCCCAGGCTAAGCATGCCCAGCTCTCTCCAATGTTCCTCACAGGCCTTGGTTTCCAGACCTTTAAGCATCCCGGTGGCCCCCATAAAACGTCTTAGTTGCAAAGATCCCACAAGCCTCTCTTATTTTACTCCACCAGACTACAAACAGGTTATCCTATCAATAATCTAGGATAGATTCTAGACTACTGTTCTGGCTCAGAGGGAATTTGGACCCTTTCCAGTGATTAACCCCGTCAAGAGACTTCCCCACACACTGATAAAAGATTTTGCAACAAACAATTTAAATCCAAAGCACAGCTATTCTGTTGTCACTCTGTCAGGGAACCACTTCCCTGCTGGACACTGTGTCCAACAGGGGAGGACAAAGTAAGGGGGCTGCCATGATCACCCAAAAACAGCTTCAGGAAAGCGGACAGGCTTAGTGTGTGCGTGGGTGTGGGGGGGGTAGCCAACTCCTGTACCTTTTGGCTGTGTGGGTGGGGATGACTGGAATAATCCTTCATGCCATCAAACCGTGTTTCACTCAAACAGGCAACAACCCCATGGACATCTTCTAGGAAATGCATTTGGGAATCCCACTTTTTGCATGTGTGAACAGCACCCTCTGCAACCAACACAACTGAAGTGTCTGCTCACAGCAGCTGAGCCCATAGGAGGCAAGGGATGTGATCTTTGAGAGTACTGGATGAAGTCCTGCGGTAAAATCACAACTAGAGAAGGACCACTGGATCAGAGAAGCCTGGCTGAGGCAGTGCCTTCAGACGTTCCATCGACTCAATGGGCCTACTCTAGTTCAGGCAACCTCTGGAGAGCTTCCGCCCATAACACTGGATGGCGCAGCGCCGGGCAGCTTTTATTCCCTTGCAGGCGCTTCCACAGACTCTACGAGGGAAACCGGGGATTTGGGAGAAGGGTGGCCGCCAGAGGGGCTGGAAGAGCAGGTCTAATCCGGAGCGAACTCCCGCCTTTCGGCCCGCCGCCGCCGCCGCCGCCTCTCACCATAGGCAGGACGAAGCCCTGATTGTAATCGGTGTGCTCCCCGATCAGGTTCACCCTCCCTGGCGCCGACACCGCGATCGTCGGATCCGCCCCTCCGAAAGCCCTTCGGTACCCCTCCCGGGCGGTGGCCAGCAGCGACGCCAGGTCGGCCACTCTCGCCCCGTCCATGGATCGGATCGGCAGGAAGCGGCGGCGGCGGCAGCTGGGGACCCGGCGCTGAGGGCCGGCTACTGGAAGAGGGCCGGCCTGTCCCCTCCGGTAGCAGCGCGATCGGGTGGATGTCACTACACCACCCGCGTTCTGACGAGCTCCTCCTCCCCACACGTGTCTCTCCCCAGCTGGCCTCTCGCTTCCTGTCCTGGGAAAACGGAGACGATCGGCAGGAAGCGGCGGCGGCGGCAGCTGGGGACCCGGCGCTGAGGGCCGGCTACTGGAAGAGGGCCGGCCTGTCCCCTCCGGTAGCAGCGCGATCGGGTGGATGTCACTACACCACCCGCGTTCTGACGAGCTCCTCCTCCCCACACGTGTCTCTCCCCAGCTGGCCTCTCGCTTCCTGTCCTGGGAAAACGGAGACCTGCCGTCCTGCCCGTACAGTTCCTGAAAATGTCCTCTAAGGGGCGCCAGCCTTCCTTCCCTCGCCGCTTCCTCGGCTCCTCCGCCCTTCTGCGCGGTGTCTGCCGGCCAGCTGCTCCTTAAATACGACGCTGCAACCACTAGCCCTGTCTGCCCCTGGCTCCGTGGCCCCGTGTTCTGAGAGGTCAGGGAGAAACAACATCAACATGGAAAGAAGAAGAAGTCGTCAAAAGCGTTGTGGCGCTTTAAAGACTAAAGACTGTTACATTTTAATGTGAGCTTTGGTGGACAGGTCCATTCCTTCAGGCAACTTGTCCACGGAATTTCCGATTAAAATACAGCAATTAGTCTTTAAGGTGCCAGATGTCACTACACCACCCGCGTTCTGACGAGCTCCTCCTCCCCACACGTGTCTCTCCCCAGCTGGCCTCTCGCTTCCTGTCCTGGGAAAACGGAGACCTGCCCGTCCAGTTCCTGAAAATGTCCTCTAAGGGGCGCCAGCCTTCCTTCCCTCGCCGCTTCCTCGGCTCCTCCGCCCTTCTGCGCGGTGTCTGCCTCCCAGCTGCTCCTTAAATACGACGCTGCAACCACTAGCCCTGTCTGCCCCTGGCTCCGTGGCCCCGTGTTCTGAGAGGTCAGGGAGAAACAACATCAACATGGAAAGAAGAAGAAGTCGTCAAAAGCGTTGTGGCGCTTTAAAGACTAAAGACTTTAATGTGAGCTTTGGTGGACAGGTCCATTCCTTCAGGCAACTTGTCCACGGAATTTCCGATTAAAATACAGCAATTAGTCTTTAAGGTGCCACAACGCTTTTGACGACTTCTTTTTTCCATAACATCAACATGGAAAGAAGAAGAAGTCGTCAAAAGCGTTGTGGCGCTTTAAAGACTAAAGACTTTAATGTGAGCTTTGGTGGACAGGTCCATTCCTTCAGGCAACTTGTCCACGGAATTTCCGATTAAAATACAGCAATTAGTCTTTAAGGTGCCCTAATGTTTTTGACGACGACTTCTTTTTTTTTCATTTTTGTTTTGTTTTCCCCTGACATGCTAGCAGAGACCAACAGGGCGACCGCTTCTGAAACTACATGTTCTGACAATTGACATTAACCCAGGAGTACTAAATACTTTTCTAGGTATCGAGGACTTTAAAAGGGGTTTGCTTATGTTCCCCCCCCCAGGCGGTGCCCTGGGACTGTGCAGCGGGCCCAAGGCCACACAGGCTGGCTCTTCTGCTGAGAGACACAGTCTGGAACAGAACTCCCACCTCCCTACCCAACAAGCTCACAAAATATTAAGGACTGATCAATCAAAATATTATCATCCACATTTTCAGACCACACACACACTTTTGTTTTATAAATGTATTGAATCCTTTTTTAAGAAAAAAGAATAAATCTCATATTCTAAGAACTTTTCCTCAGACAACAACAAACCTTCCCCCATGCTGTGGCTCTCCAGATTATGTTGGACTACAGCATGTCCCATAATCCTTGATCATTAGTTATGCTGGCCAGGGCTGCTGGGCGCCGGAGCCTTACAATAACAGGAGGGCCGCAAGTTCTTCACCACTCCTTGCCTCAAAATAATCTTTTACATAGGCATCCTTCAGTCTCAAGAGACTATGGTAATGTGCTCTGTATGGAGGACTTGGAACAGCATCTAGTGTGGCTGCGAAGGCCAATTCGAGAGTGACAATCCCTTCCACACTGGAGACAAATCCAATCTGTCCCCTGTCCAGCTCCCTGGTTTTGCTTGTTTCGGGACTGCCTCTTTGCCTCAGTCTGCTGGACCAGGGTCTCTTCAGATGTCAAGATTTCCCATCTGTTGAGGTCCATTCCTAAGGCCTTCAGATCCCGCTTGCAGATCTCCTTGTATCGCAGCTGTGGTCTCCCTCTGGGGCGATTTCCCTGCACTAATTCTCCATACAGGAGATCTTTTGGAATCCGACTATCAGCCATTCTCAAGACATGCCCAAGCCAATGTAGACGTTGCTGATTCAGTAATATATATATGCTTTTTTAAAAGTATTTATTTAAGGACAGGGTAGGGAATAAAAAAAGTAAGAGGAAATAGGGAAGAGGGGGAAAGAGTTAGGGGGATAGGAGAACAAGGAGTATAACATCATCAAATCAATTCATATTACAATAACAAAACAACTT